CAGGTTCATTTGGGGATACTGAGGTTACCATCTTAATAACCTCATCCCTAATTGCACCGCCAGATCTCCAAAGCGACTGCTGAGAGGCATGGGATGGGAAGCCCCTGGACACATCCAGGAGGGATGTACTTGTGAAGGATGCCCTGTGGACACTGTTGGATGAGCCCAGCTGGAAGGATGATCCCAGCACTCTGCTCAGGGCAATGCAGATCCAAATCTCTCAGGAAATAAACCCACCACAACTTTAGGGACTGGAAGATATGACAGATGCTGCAGAAAAAGCCACCTTGTTCAGAATCATATGTTGTGTGCATATAGAAAAGAAATCCTATTTCCAGTTTTGGACTCAGTACATTCACCTTATCTCCAGTGCAGGTCTGCCTGCTGGCTTAGTGCAGCTCCAGGTGCTATCGGCCTGTGGCAGCACCATTTGAAAGGAGAACATGAATAAAGAGCTCCACATTCATTTCACTCTTTTAATTCTGCTTCCCCACAAAATTCTGACAAAACCCTGCTACAGGGAGAGGCAACTTTTATAGCACAGCAACCCTGCACCCACAGTGAGGTGCTAAGAGCAAGTCAGATGGTCAATGACAGAAGGTAAATGCAAAATTAAGTAAAACGATCAGATTACACTGAAGTTAATGACAGGCTGAGGACAGCTGTTTTGTAGGTTTGTGGGAGAAATCTTATTTAAAGCCTCTTTCACAACTTTATTCCTTCTAGCAATAGAAACAGAGCACTCTTCAGGTCCTTACAAGGGAAAGATGCTCCTTTCCTGTATGGTAACACAACCAGCTCAGAGAGATGCTAGAAAATCATATGCTGCAACATCACTTGGCTCAAACATGGCTTTTTGTCCCCAGAGCTCACAAGTATTTCACAAAGAAAGTCAGCATCACCAACTGCATCTTTTCAAAATGGAGCAGAGAGAAAGAAAAAGGGCAGGTGTGAAGGTTACCCAGCAGTGCAGTGGGACCTGGGGGCTGAGACATGAGAAAAATGGTGCAGATAATATTACTAAATTCTAAAAATAGAGAATATAATCAGAGGCTGCTACAGAATACAGCAATCCTTGAGGACTGGTCGAGACGTTGTGTTATGACCTGACTCCTATGAAGTCTGTCCATCCAGTGCTGCATCTCAGTCGGTCTGGCTCTCAATCTGGCTCAGGATTATAGAGCTCCTATGAAGCTGCAGGAGCCAAAGTACCCAAAGCAACCAAGAAAACCACCTGCCTTTGTGCTAAACTACAAAGAACAGCAGCTGAAAGTACAAATTAGAATCCTACAAAGGACAAAAAAAAAAAACTCAGGTGCCCATGATTAGCCAACAAGGATGGAAATATTAAAAATAGAGTTTCTGTCCTATCTGATATTCAGAGAACAGGAGGACATTCAACCTCTACGTATTTAAGAAGTCCTTCAGTTTATTTCTTGTTAAGAAGCAGGTTTGGAAACAAAGCACTCACATAAATTAATAATAAGCACTTCCAAACATGTTGCAGATAAAAGAGGGAGGGAAGGGAGGGAAGGGGATGCTCGCCTAACCGTGAATGCATAGAGCACCTTTCCCAAAGTACAAAAGCATGTAGAGAGGCAAAGTTTGAGAGACAACTGAATGAGCTTCACAGATCTGCCTGTTGTGTCAGAATTTCCCAAGCTCTTTGCATTGCTGCTAGTCTCAGCAGTTCCTCACCTGGCAGAGTGTGACATTCATTCCAAGTGACAAAGCCTCGCACCCAGTTGGGTCTCCAGCTGTCTACAATGAGAAGCAATGGAGAACAGAAAACAGCTCAGCTGCATCCAACTTCTCCAAGCCCTTACAGCCTCCATTAACCAAAGGCTGAAACAACAAGCGACAACAGAACCTGTCTGCAACTTCAACAGTTAACCAGAAAATGAGTTTATTGTGCAACTATGAGAAACTCACATAGCATGTAAGGAGCAAACTACAGGAAAGGGGCAAACCTGAGTCTGCCAAGAATGCAAAGTGAAGAGAGCAAGGAAGGAAGGCTCATGATTAAAAAGATCAAGAAAGACACAAATACAGCAGATTCACTGGTTAAGCAAAAAGTACAACAAGACAATGTAAATTCTCAGCAGGAAAGCATCCTGTAAGTCTCACCTTTCGACTGCCCATTAAGCAGAGGTTGAAAATGTAAATTTGATTCACTTAACACAGAAAAGATGAGCAAGAGAGGCTTTTATGTCCATCTACATCTAATGTGCATGAAGTCAGAACACCACAAGCACAGATCCTAGCCATTGTAACTATAAGCTCAGTCTTTAACACTTAGCCTTATGCTCTACCACACCAAGTCACTGTGCAGCAAATCTCAGACCTGAATTTCCTTGGAAAAAAGCATCCAATGGACTACAACAATCACAGAATCATAGCTGGAAAAGACCTTAATGATCATCAAGTCCAAATGCAACCCAACCACACTAACTCTAACAAATATAACACCCTAAGTACCCTAACTCTAATAAATGAGGTATGCTAGCTAACTTGTGTCACAGGTGGAGACTGAATTAGAGATAATACTCCTGAGACACTCCTGGAGGTTACAGACAGCACTGTGTCAGTGACCCACATGAGCCCTGGCTGTGCAGTGTGAAGAAGCTCCATGCTCTGAGGCTGCAGCACGCACTGCTGGCTGAGTAACACTGATGAGAACAGGCAGTGCTCTCACACATGCAGCATCACTGAGATCTGCTGGCCAATGCAGAGAGAAGGAAAAAAAAGAAAATACCTGCAGATAGAGAAAAAAAAACATATCCAGTAAGAAACAACTGCTAAAAGTCAGAACTAACAGCAGAGGAAGCATGGAGTTGAGCAGAATAAGAAGTACAGAAAAACACCAGCAGGCCAAATGCTAGAGAAGCCAGAGCTCTGTCGTGGTTTGGGGTTTTTTGGCCTGAAAATGGAATTTGAAACAAAATACCATCATTATGCATAGAGGGTTTGATAATGCTTTTAAAACAGTACAAACACTTGGTTGTCTTATTTAACATTAAAATAAATACCTGTCTTATAGTGAGGGTACACATCTTAACTATGTATAACGAATATTTCACCCAAAATGTTCTTCATTTGATCCAGCCAGATATGAACGGTGCTTTAAACCTTAAATAATCCATCAGGATGAACATTCATGTTCCACTGGGTTCTCAGTGTTTGTTTGCTCTATCTGTCTTGCTGGATTCTTCCACGGCTTCGCGAGTAGCACTGATTCACTTAAACCACCTCTCAGAAAGGCTTGTTCAGCCTGTGAAAGTAAGCTGAGTTGAAATGCATGCTCTCTCACTGTAGGGCACAGAGTAAAGGTTGGGTACTTTGCATCCTTCCTTTGAAAGGTCATTCAGGAAGGTGCTGCTGCAGGAAACACAAATGCACACGGGACAAAGTTGATGCTTTCAGACAAAGCAGCGTCTCAGATCTTTTATGGGAGCATTAGGAATCCCATGTTGTCACATAAAGACTGAGGTAACCTAGAGGAACACGTCTGCTGTGATGTTTCAATCCCATTTCACTGCACTGTTGATACTAAATCACAGCCATACAACTTACACCTCCAAATTACGTGCTGCTGGTAGTAATAGTGGTCATTAAGGTGTACTAAGCACTACAGAATGTCATCATAGGTCTGTATGAGAATCCCAGCCATGGAGATTCTGGCACATACAGCAATGCTGCAGTGAAACAACTCTAACATTTCTCAACAGCACTGCAATTCCAAAGGGAAAAGGACAAACACAAATCATTTACTGAGCAACAGTGAGAACTGTTTCTCCCCTCACATCTCCCCCAAAACGTTGGAGGTTTATCCACAAAAGCCTCTGAGCTCCTTCCCCTTAACCAAGCTTAACCAGCTCAGCACGGATTTCCCATTCAGCACCTGGGCTTCTCTGCAAACCCTCAGCCCCATACATCACATGGCTCTGACTGCCCTTGCAGCACAGCTAAACCCAGCCCATCTCTCATGCTGCTGCGAGTCAGGAGCAGAAAACATACAGCTTTTCCAGATGCTCTGCCACACCGTGTGATGCAAAGGAAAAATTGTCACTGGTCTCACATCACAGAAGTCACCTCAGCCATGCAGCTGTGCTGCCCCAGCAGGAGCAGCAATGCCACCCATCAACATTCAGATCTCCCCCCTGTCCAAGCTCTGTCGCAGAATGCAATTTCCTCTTCTGCTTAATAAGCTAATGAAGCAATTTAGAATATATGGAAATAACAAGCAAGATAGGACATCTGGGCAGTTCTGTACTGAGGCAAGGCAGGTCAGATGTCTGCGAGGTAAGATAACTTCACAAAACCACCTAATCAGGTTGCCTAATTTGGCAACTAAATTAAATAACAACCTCCTGTTTGAGCTCAGCAAATCCTAAAGGAGCTGGGAGAAGAGGAGGTGAAGGCAGAGAGGTGCTCCACTCACTCGTCTGAAAAGGAAACAAACCAATCAGGGTAATGCAGAAGTCTGCAGCCCACAGCCCTCTTGCAATGTTGTGATAAGGATGAGAGCAGCACCTCTGTGCTTTCTTTTCTGCAATTCCTTTCAGGTTGGCTTTCAGGCTAACATTTCACTGCTGCAGACTTTGCCAGCATTCTGCTAAAATCACATTCTTCCACAATGCTGCATGCTTCAAAGAGCATGTTTTTACAAGAAGTTCCCTTCATGCTCCAAAGTCTTGCCGAAAACGAGGTTAATGCAGACTGAATCGTTGTGACATTACAGACCTTTTAATTGGTTACCAGACCTGCTTTGGGGCACATATTAATAGGGCAGAAGCGTTATGCGCGCTCCTTCTCCCTCCCCTTGACAAAGCGCCAGAGGAAGGAAAGTATTTTGGTCTTACTGAAACTACAACACAGCCCATTTAAAAAGCCGAAATTCGCAGAGGAAGAATCAAAGCATAACGTGAAACACAAGAGCCAGCAGTGCCGATTATTCGGAACAAAAGCCACGCATACAAAAATGCAGCCAGGCGTTTTACCATAGCGCTGAGGGTCTCCTCCCAGTCCGGCCTCTCTCGGGGATGGATGCTTCTCTGAAGCTCTGGCACGAAGTCATCTTCTTCTGAATGTAAAGAGGACTTCATCATTCTGAAAAGGAGGACAGACAGGTTTGATATGCGGACATCTTCACAGGCCTTAAAGCACTGAGAGACCTTCAGTCTGTTTTAACAAGCTGCTGTTTGCCCATGCAAACACTCTCAGCCTGTGAGAAGCAGGCATTGACTCCTTGGAAGGTGCAGCATCATCTGCTGTGGCTTCGCTAACACAAGATTCAGGCAGGCTTCTGTTAGTAGATGACACTTATTGAGAGTAACCCATCTGATAATCAGTGCTACACACACAATTAAAACAAACAGCACGCTTCCTCAGCTTTAAGATTTGAAAATAAGACAACTGAATTCGCACCTTTACGTGCACTTTGGATTACAAGTCTATTTACCATGCACTCCTCAGGCTTATGCCAGTCCCCCCTGGATTTCCCATCAGAAATCTGTTTTCTTAATAGCCTTTCCCACCAAAGCCAATGCTTTCCTTTTGACAAGTAAACTTCCCACATGTCTGAAATGCTGCCAGCACTGCAGGGCTGCCCAAGGACGCTGCGCCTCCTGCCTTTAGGATGCACGCACAGTCTACAGCAAAATGAGCCAACGGAGTCACCCGTGTGAGGTCTCGATTCAATGTTACCAAGTGGTAACAAACTCAGCAGCTGGGAAGCAGTCAGAGGAGGATGGAAGTGACCTCTGAAGCTAAAGGGATGTTACTGTAAGGATGGCTGCCTGCTTCTTGCTACAATTTATCCTGAAAGAAAGGCAGGAGGAAAGGAGCTGGGAGGTGGAACAACTCCTGTCCTCTGTCACCACCCAGGGTAGAGCAGAAATGAAACAAAACCTGGAGCTACACTGCCAAGAGGAGGAGGTTTCTGAGCTCGTATGGCTTCACTTAAAGATAAGTTGGGAATATTACACACCTGGATATCCACTGCCCACTGGCACTGACATAAAGCATGGACACGTTTTGTAAACATTAAGGGACAAATGAAACTAAAGAACCCGCTCTGCTCCATACAGCCCACACTCGGCTATTTCATGGGAGCTGTAATTGACTGGAAATTCACTACAATTTAATATGACCCGTAATGACAGAAATGCCACTGTATTTGAAATGCCACTTCTTCAGCTGCTCTGCAGCTCTCTGCGCCCATCAAACAGCAGCCGACACCGTTACATTAATCACAGCTCTGCCTGCACAGAGGTCATTAAGCAATCTCTCTTCAGATGACTGAATCCTTCTATGGTGTAAACTGAGAATCAAATGTACTGGAACAAACGTTTACAGGACGTTTCACAGAAGGCACAGCCCTCTTTCACACCCATTCTTTCAAGTTCTCTACTAAGTCAGGTTTATGAATTGCAAGTCAGAGCTCGCACATCTGTACATGACACAACTGTATCAAGAAACGCCTAATGCCCATTTCCATGCTCTCAACCCCCCAATTTGCCAACTGCCATTCATTGCAGCACTTCCCTATCTGCTTACAAGGAACCAAAGCCCATCGGTGCTGCCCTGCAGCCACAGCCCCGCACTCCTGGCAACGGGTGAGCACTGCAGGACAGCTCACATCCCACCTGCTGAGTGTCAGATATGCTAAATGCTACCCACTGCAAACCAGGACTGCCAGGGCCCTGATGCCACTGCTGACTGATGGTTCTCCTGCGGGACAACACGAGGCACTGACAGATTACATCGAGATGCCTGATGGTTTGAAAGCCATGCAATAGCACGGAAGCACCAGGCACTTTGAACACCAGACCCCTCATATCACACAGATAATTGTCTGCCTGACAGATACTCATTTCAGACCGGCTATATATTTCTTAAATTAAATGCCAAGCCTGATCTTTAGGCTGCACTCCCCCCATGGGACATTGGGCAGGTCAGCGTTCCCTGCTGCTTCTCCTTCAAATGACTTTTCTTTCTGACCTCAATTTAGGAGGCAAGAGCCGACAATAACTGATTTATTTGTTTATTTATTATTTATACAGCACTGCTGTTGTGCCGGGAGGTTTCTCAGCCCACAGAAAAGCACAGCTCTGCCCCAAGGAAGCAATAATTCCAAAGGATTTAGAGCTCCACAGAAAGCAATACTTTCCGAGATACGAATCCTACCCAAAAAGCCAAATTTAAATAAGGCCTTTGGTGACACAAATCTATGCTTACAATCAACGAGTTTCAAACGTTATCTGATAAAAATGGGTATTTTGTGTGCACAAAAAAGCCAGAATAACACAGACTTTACCAGGGCTCTAACAACACTCTGCAGATTAATCTTTGCATCGCTTGCAGGGAACTGCACATGCACTTGGCTCATCCTCCTTGCTCCTAGCAAGCATGTTTGCCTTCAATGAGCACTCTTCAGTTTTGACACTATTAACAGATACTGCTCAAGAGAGGGGCGAAGAGCAGAGGCAGCAGACAGCAACCAGAACAGAATCGTGATGTGCTGCTGCAAGTTCAAGAGGCAGTGCTTCATGGGCACCACTGTAAGGATTAGCAAAACACACTGCAGACAGATGAGATCTGGGGTTGCTTTAGGCTCCAAGAATTCACTACAGGTGAAGCACAGTGCAAAGCCCCTCAACCCAGGGCACATTAAACTTAAAGGGCAAATGTAACAACAGCCTGGATGCAGCATCCCTGTCTGTCCCCATGCAAGAAAGCAATGTTTCCAGGCTTTGATCACCCACCTCCCAGTCACAGCATGGAAAGGTACTCCAACAATCAACAGAAAGATACCTTTAAAACCTCTTCTTTAGAGGGTTTAAAAATAACTTGATCGAGACAAGGAGTCACAGAATCATAGAATGGCCTGAAAAGGAGCACAGTGCTCATCCAATCCCAAGCCCCTGCTATGTGCAGGATTGCCAACCACCAGGCCAGGCTGCACATCCAGCCCGGCCTTGAATGCCTCCAGGGATGGGGCATCCACAGCCTCCTTGGGCAACCTGTTCCAGTGAAATGAGTCACAGAGCTACAGAGAAAAAATATATCAAGAATTGGAGTGGTCAACATACAATATATGACACAAAATTAAGGCAGCTTTTCACCATGGACTGCCCTTATCACCACAAGGAAAGGCAACATCTAGGAAACAATTGAGATGTGACATAAAGCATATAAACACCTGGGCAAGAAATTGGAATCTAGAGAGAAACATCAGCACGTCTTTATTTCTGGCCTCAAACTTACACCATAAAATATATCTGTGCTATCATGAAAGAGACAGGGGAAAAAAATGAAGCCAGGAAACACCCACCCTCTGCCAACCCCATTTCCCAAGCAAAATCTATATCCATGAAATTAAAATAATACAGTGGAAAGGAACAAATAATCATGCAATATGGAAAGTGGAGATAGCTCGAGAGCCCCAGGGACAGTGAAACGAGATGGAAATTGAAGGCTGGCAGCGATGACCTGAAAGAGAATTTAATTTCCCATCTTTTAAATCAGCACTGTCAACACCTTGCTGATTACATTATGTCTATCCGTATTATATAACATAAGATTTCTGAAGTCTGTCTCAAGGTTCACACAAAGCAAAGACAAAAGACCTCCAAGGTCAGCACACCTGGTAAATATACACACCTCGTAAACAAACAAATGGCAAATGGGATTGCATTTAATCCTTGACCACAAAATGAAAACCTGGCATAACTAAATGGTTTACTGTGATTGATTCTGCTAAGTTGAAAGCTACAGTGGACACTTTTGATGTAAGTTCATTATTATGAAGCCAAAATTGGATTGTTTGGGAAGCCACTGGGTAAGAAAAACTAACAGAGAAACACTGCATTACAACAGAAGAACCATTTAAAAATCCTATGCTGTTGTTCAAATATGAGCCAGCAGAAACCAACCTAAATTTCTCAGTGACTGCACGCTACCTGTGCCAACAAGGATGCATCTGTTGCCTCGTTTTAGATGTTTACATCAATGGTTTTCAGCTCCTGATTTATCAGTGATGGCCAGAGAACTGCTGAGATGGGGCAGCAGGAGCTCAGTACCAAACGTTCCTTGGTGCAGCTGCTCAGTAAGCACAGGGCTTTCAAGGACAGTTCTGCTCTTCTGCCACAACGTGGGCAGCTTTGTGTACCCAGTGTCACCCAGCTGTGCGCCGTCTCAGCTCAGGAACACCAATGGCAAGGTACTTCAGTGAGCAGCAAGATGCTCATCCACGCTCTGCAAGGGGCTGCAATGGTGCCTAAGGGCTCTGCTGAACTTGACTTTAGTAATTTGCATTCAGGTTTTGCTAAAGGAGGATTTCTTTGAATGCTTCATGGAAAGAATGTTCAGCTTTCACATGCTCTGAGCCACGCTCTTGGTTATTAAAGAGGTTTATTGAAAAAAAAATCACAGAATCCTCATCTTTCTGCATACATGTATTATTGGACAAAACTGCTCTTTGCTTTGGCAGCACATAAAAGGCATTGCTTTAATAAGTGCTTAGTATTTTCTTCCAGAACACAGTGACAGCCAATTAGAAAACTTATTCTTTAAATAAGCTTCTCTTATCACTTTTGCCCTGAGTAAGAAAAGAATTAAGGAAAACGCTCAGTTCTTAGCTTGGCTTCCTCTGGTTCGATTCAGGAACACATGAAGAAACAAATTGTCTCTAGGGAAAGAGAGTCCTGGCCTCTCATTGACAATTAATGAACTGCTATGAGCAGCCCTGAAGTCTGAGCCCAGAGAGGAGATGGGGAAGGATGGCTGCTTTTTGAGTTCATGCTTTCTTCTGGGCATGGTTTCATTTCATGGCTTCCTCTCTGCCCAACAAAAGCCATTCCAGTCTTCACTGGAGCCCTTAAATACCATAATACAAATCAGTAATAAAAACCATCTGTTTACAGCTAATCCAGATACGGAAAAGTTTTAAGTTTACCCCAAAATTACGAAGCGTGACCTAAACCCAGATCCAAGGACATTCATCTGGACTCATTTCTCATTTACTTGTAGTTCAGAGGTAATGCAAAGCCATGGCAAATGTAATCCTTCCTGATCCAAGCATACACTGGAAAAATGATGCTTTCAGC